CTTCCTACATTGGTGGAGGAGAAAAGCAGACAAATTGAAAGTTAAAAATCAGTACATATGTCAGGTAGAAGGGAAGTGTTCGAATCTCTCCACATGTGGTTCACAGCTTGTCCTGAAGACCTCTATGTTCATTCGCTTTTATTGACCTTCAAACTATCATGAAGTCCCCACGACCAGACCATCCAGCTCAGATAACAAAACTCCATCAAAATCACCCACCTGAGCTAAAAATCTTCTCCACCGTCTCGAAACGAAAAAAGTTAGGTATTTTACTTAAATTGAACACCAAAAAGTGGATTTACTTCACGGATAGGTATCCTGACTTTATTACACTGCTGAAATATTTTCATTCCCAACCATTTTGAGCGCATAATGTAAGGTGCCCCACATGTTGCTGCATAACGTTAGTAGGTATAAGCACGGCTTTGAAACTGATTACTGTAAACGAACATTTTCAAAGTTTATGATTAATTTTCCCTACTTGGTACGCGAAATGAATGTCATTTAAACTCTCATGACTTTCATTCTTTGCGTCCTTAATTTTGGCTGCGATTGGTCACAGAGATTACGCCGTTATTTAAACCTGCCAGCTGCCCTTTTGACTGTCTCATATTTGCCAGTAGTTTCTATAGGACTAAATTTTGGGAGCATTCCCTTCTCTTTCAAATTTTTAATCGTGCCTTACTACGGAAATCTCACAAGTTAGGGTTTCTGACTACTTTGCATATGTTACGTCCTTAAGGTAATTCTTTCACTTTGAATTATATGAGCCACACAAGCTTTGTGTTGGGAGGTTTCATATAAACAGTGCATCGACAAAACTTACAATTTCGCTGAGTGTAGACACGGGAAAAATCCAAGAAGACCGGGCAGGATTAGAATGTCAAGAATGTCTTGATCAGCCATACCAGACTAGTTTTATTGTTCTTTGACGACGACTATACCTTTCAAAGTATCTGTCAAGTAGTGGAGCTGAAGTAAAGTGTAGCGGTTTGAAGTGGTCTTTATGTCACTCCGCTTATAATCACTAACAAAGTACTAATCACCACTGTTCTCTACTAGACCATGTAAGTCGTACTAGAGCCCTTCTAGAGTTACAAGTGGCCCTGAGACCAGGTAAAGGAGAACTTAGTTCAAGATAATCAACCGTATCTCACAAAAATGAACATCATTGAAATGGTTAGTCAGAGTAAACCGATTAATCCACTAAAAAGCTCGCTTGACAGCTGAAATATCTCCACATGGAAGGCATTTAATGTTAAAAGACGAGACTTTGCGGAAACCACGAAACCGACGTTCCTTCTGACAGTCAATACGGTGATTGGCACGGACCTACAGAATTTTCGGACTTTGTGAGGGACTGGATCGCTCACTCGAAAAGATGCTCGAAAATAATAAAACTCACTAGAGAGGACCTGGAGAGAGGACTAATGTCAAAACAGTTGTCATTGTGTTCCATCCTTGTTGTCCACGAGTAGTATGAAACCGATGAGAGCTAACTATGAAGAATTGAGATGTCTCGTCACAAACAATGAACAATGAACTGTAGAACTAAATCATGTCAATATCTCAACCACAATATCCTTTGGTTTAGTCAGTCAAATAAGAAATTGATTTAAAATATTTAAAATGACTGGTGAAGTGATGAATATTTGAAGTTTGTATTCACCTCTCTAGGTTGGATTGGCTTATCACCTGAACAGACATCTAAGCAAACCGTATAGTTGTATGGTTTTGTCGGCAACAATTCAGTGGTAATTATACGTGAAGGTATGACAAATAGTGGGATCGTAGATTTACAAAAGTAGACGATTAATGTGTATTACACTTGTCTAAGCAACATGTTTTGTTTGGGTAAGGTTACTGCTTAACAGGTCATGGAGTAATGATAGTCTATGATGTGTAGTAGTAGGATGGGATTCGTGTACGTAAATTTGTAGTGGATTGGTCTACCAATCCGTTCAATAAGTGTGTAGTATCAGGTATTTTTGGGAAATTTTCCGTTCATTTATTGAGTGAGTACTGCTTGTGAGAGAATAATTTTTGCTATGAATTTCATTTCATGCTCTAATTTTCACTTCATCAATTATCTTCATTCGGAAGTCTGAAACAAGCCTTAGTGATGCATTTATAGAAAGCATGGAAAACACTTCTTTCTTATTTAAATACAATCCTAATGAGTTGTAATTTACAGGTGAATCCAGTTTCATTTAAAATAACATGGGTATGTCTGACCACATTGAATAGTATTATTTCAAATGTATCTACAAGCTTCTTCACTATTATAGACTCGATAACCGATCGTCACCCCAACCATCTTCAACACTAACATCAAGACAAACATTAGCAAAGAAATTCTTGTTGTTACTCCTTAACTTACTCATATAAAACAGGTTAAATAGTGACTAGTCAGCATTCAGATACCGGTTCAGTCCTAAATACAATCCATATTTAACTCTTAAAGAAACAGAAATTCTTTGATGAGAATCAAAATACATATTGACTCAAAATAAATGGAAACGTATCAACAGATTCACTTCTGAAATCACCACTAAATAATGAAATCTGAGAAGTTGAATAACCCATACAAAACTTCAGGCTACGTACTCATGCGCATTCAAGAAATGCAACATTCAGAAAAAAATGCAAAAGACCAAAGTATATCTGTCAAAACAAATATTTTTGCAAAAATAGTACAAAATAAATTATCTTCTGTATAAAATATACATTTTCTTTAATGTATACGTGGTGACATTTAAAGATGGAACGTTCGACACAAATCTGATTATTTACTCGGTTAATACACGGTTAAACGAAGCTCGAGAGAGATGTTAACCTTGGCCAAGGAATTCACGTTTACCTTCATCGTTCACTGCACAGACATGCTTGAGACGAGAGGAAATAATCAAAGGAGAAAAAGTGAACAATATTAATATCTTCTCTGAACAATGTGAAAGCAAATCTGACTCATCTCATCTCATCTCATTCATTCATTCATTAAAGTGATACATGTTCCATTTGTTGGCCAACGTAATAACTCGCTCACATTCATACATACTCATCAATCTCCAACACATGTTATTCCACACATCCAACTGGATCATTCCACATATAATAACGAACACAAATGGGAAAACAACAAATTATCCATTCGTCCAATTCACTTACTGGCAATTCACGGAAGCGATCGTTGTAGTCGATACCATAACCAACTATGAATACATTCGGTACTTCGAAGCCAACATCTACAAAATGCCATTTGATACGAATCAGTTTGATGGAATAAGTTAAAATGACGAGTAATGATGCGTGTCTGATCAAAAGTAGGCTACACTCGTGTTACACAGTTTTACTTTGCACGTCGTGACAATTGATCTCTGAATGAACCACTTAATGTGGTTTTGAGTGACTCAAATATACACTTGGTTTAATTTTAACAGAGATCAAAATAACTTGTGAGGAGAGAATTGACTGTTGAATTCTCTTACACGGTTGCTATATTTCTGGTTGGATGTGTTATCAGTGATCAGGAACACTGTGAATAGATTTTCTTCAGAAATGGAACTGGAACACGGTCAATAGGTATTATTACACAACCGGCCAAAAACACAGTAGTTCTTTGTTGTTCAGTGATGATCGGGTTCCATCTGTCGATAAATCAGTGGATGATGTCCCACTCTTACTCTATGAATACTTGTTCAATGAATTAGTTCACAACGTCTATCTCCAACAGATTCTGTTGTACTATTGAAATGATTCTGACAAGATCAGATCTTAATTCGATGACTCACATCTTTGAACCTAGAACGATTCGATTTACATACACTTGAACACTAATTTAGTCAGCCATAATACACATAAGTAGAGATACAAACAAATTAATATTTGCACAAATACAATGATAGTTCTGTTACGAACAATTTCAGTATTGAAGACTTACAGGTTGGTTTATATCCAGGAAAAGTTATTGTTTGTTTTTTACTAGAAAAACTATTATTAAGATATAAAAAAGCCATTTAAACATGATGTTATTGTATGTTTAACTAATAACATTTATAACTATTAACATAGTTGTATATGAAAAGTATTAAATATTTATTTAATAAGAACAAAACAAACGAGGATAACACATACCATAGAGATAAACAGGAAAATGAACTATTTGGTGGTATTTCTTCAGTGGGATTCGTAATTCTCTTGACTAATAAACTGTTATTCAGAAAAACAATGAACGTTTGAAAAATAAAGATTAATGAACATCAGTTTCACTAGCAAAACAGTAGAACCTATATACAAAGTATTCAGTACACCTATATAATTGACTTGGTGTTCAATCATAACACGTTGGAATCAATGTGAAATACGACGACATTTATCTCTCTTTACACTGTGTCTCAAAGATACCCTGCATTTCAATAATTCTAGTGTACAGGACAACCATTATCGATTGTTTACTAAATGCACACAAATAAACTCACAAATCTGTCACACCACATCAGTAGTACTTACTATCAAGATAAACAATTGATTTCTACACATTCAGTGTCTTTTGAATTAAATGTATAAAAGATCTACTAGACTATGAATCCACTTGTTCAACCTGTTAACATCCAACTCAACATACACATAACACTCACTTCAAATGCATTCGGTGATAATACAAATAAGAGAACAACATCAACACAACATACCATGCTGAACGAACAGATTTCGGTTCGTATTTCTTCACAAATCTCTCCAGTTCGTTTAAACTCGTGCCCGTGTCAACCATATCTTCCACAATGAGTACGTCCTATACAGAACAACCAAATGATCATGATAAATTCTCTCCATTTCCGCTCAACCTACCTTATCTCTGAACTTCTCCATATTTGTACACGGAGTGATTTTGGTATCATGACCTACTGAATCATCCTGAATAAATTGATAGACATTAATTCACAAAATGTTATTACTACTTACAACGTATGTACTTGCAGCGACGAAGTCAATACTAACCCTTATGTAATTTTCACGCGTAAATGAATACTTTGTAACGTTTTCCATATTTCAGAAGCGAATTTGAAGCCTCCTTTCAATATACAAATCACGTAGACAGATTGTACACCAGATTTCTCATAATCATCCAATATATCAATAGACATTCTTTCCAAACGACTTCGAACCATTCCACCCGGAATTAAAATGGTTGAAATATGTTTTTCATAGATTTCTGGTAAAGTGAAATTCTTCGCTGAATATCCTTCATAACTATCATCAAACTAATTGAAAACACAGGCAAACAAATAGTGAAAACAATTTGAAGACTTACAATTATGCAATCCTTCTTGTATTCACGGGAATTCATTTCTGTGCTATTAAATAATTTATTCACAATGAAGAAGACATTACTGAGATTATATAGAGTGAAGCATACAGTTGATCATCCAACCAGATGTCTCGTCGCGATAACCAATCAACTATCGACTTGATAGAAAGTCGAATTATGATAATAATTCTATAGGAGGAAATCGAGAATGAGATTACTTGAAGAATATGTTGAATTCATTGTATTTCATTGTCACAAAGAAGTCGCTTTGTTTAGTCAGTTCGAAATAATAAGGACATTGTCAATGAGCATGACGAGATGGGTAGTCGATCACAGAGTAGTGAATTGTGTGAAAGGCTTCATTGTAATTCACATTTTAACACATAGATATTAATACAAAGAGGCACCAAATACATATGCACCACACAAATCTCTTTTGATATGTGTGAGGGCTGTGATGGTGCCCATGTGCCCAGTTTATTGTAATGCAGTTGAAATTAGGACACTGACGGAATATTTGTGAGTAAAGAGGATGATGACTCTCGACTGTGTGATCTGACAAAGATTTACTCATTATTAATGAAGATTGTGATGACAAAATCGAGACGGAAATCAACTCACTCAATTGTAATTATGAATAGATGAAGAATGAAAAAATTTGAACCTATTCGGAGTTCATCTACACTCAGATGTCTCGTCACAATAAACCATCATCTATCGACCTGATATAATGCCGAATTATGTGTCGAATTATCAGGAAACATTGTTCCACTGATTGTATTATAGGGATAACGATATTCTAGTGTTATTTACTCAAGTTCTTCACTCGATTACATTGCTTGATAATTCACAAGGATTTATTGTATGAAATGAAATACAGATGATTGTTGTCATTAGTGAAACATGCAACTACTTGTTGCAATGTGTTAGGCATTAATTATTATAATCGGACAGATTGTGTGCATTCATAGTTTACTAAATCGAGAGCACTCAATTGTGCTGCTCAATCGTGCTGCAGATAGTTACTGGTGAAAATAATTATGGTACATTGGAAATATTAAATGGTGATTAGTGCATTAACATGATCTGATCATATTCACAACTATAAACTGATTGACATTCGTTAGCAGTGCCATGAGTGTTAGATGTGTGAGTTGTTGGTTAAAAGGAACTCTATTTCACTGTTTGTGTAACTACTCATTTCACAGTCTTGTTCCATTGAAAGAGTGCGCTTTTGTTAAAAGTGAAAATTTTCATATCATGTGAGTAGTCATTCTGATGATGAATGAACCATTCGTTTCATCATTAGGAATGGTGATGGCATCATCAATCCATCCATGATGAACAGTCTTGTTGAAATGATACATTGATATAATTCAGTCAGATGTGCTTCCCTACATCAAATCTTGAATTTCAATTTCTTCAATTCTAAATCTTACCAGAAATCTTCAACTACATTTCAGACTGATTATTACTCTTGAATATTCAATAGTAGTGTATGACCATAGTGTAATTACACTGAGACATTCCAACATACACAAGGAATGTAAATGAAGCCAGAATAAGTTGACCTGAAGTAGACTTTTAGATTTCCAAGACTAATTATTGAATGAATAAATGAATGAATGCAAATTGCTTTGATGAAATTTGTTTATTTGAGTTTAATAACTAAACAAATAACATAATTTAGTTTAAAATTGACATAATCAAATCACAAATTAGTGTGGAATGTTAATGATAGCGTAAGTGAATTGACCGTGTTTATCTTGTTCATTGCCAAATCATATGCCTTCATCAGCGTTGTAATTCAATTCATTCAATTCATTCACAGATAAGGTAATAATTACAAATTACAATTTAATGGTGACGATGATAATGATGATGAGGACGCATGGTAATTTTCATTATCTATGCTGACTGGTTGGATGTCATCGGTAAGACATTGTGAATGTTGCACTTTATATTACATGATCAATACAGTGCTCTATCAAAAATGGTAGTTTACGGAACAAGTCAATAACAGTAAGTTAAAGTTTTACGCCTACACCCCTCTTCAACATTCACACATAAGCAGTGTGAAATTGAATTACAACTTCCATATTGTGGAACGATCGGTCTGGAGTTGTTCATTACTGTTCAGACTTTTTTGTCAGGTGACAGTTTATTTCATTGAAATCTACCATGCGAATTGCATCCAGTTGTCTTGGTACGGCCGACAATGTAGAGAGTCCGTTCTCACTTTCGAAATTCTCTCATATGTACACGCGTAAACAGCCACATCCATGTAAGTCTTTCCCGCTGATTAAGGCTCTGGATGTAGCTCTCTAAGAAAACCACCTGATTCGATCTGGGCACTATCATAGTACACACACAAATCAAGTGACTTGAATTGCGCATATGTATTCGGTGCTCCTTTGTACCAATATTTATGTGTTCAAATAATATAAAGAAATGAATCATGAGAATCTTTTATTGTTGATTGTTTGCATGAATTCAGAGTACCAGCGAATAAATTTGGCAAATGTAAGAATTTGGATGCTCCAAACGAACCGTTACGTATTGACAAATGAACATCGAAAGACTCAATAAAACATAACGCCTGGAAGACGTCAATACTTGTAAATTTCTATTTCCATAACAAATTCATCATTATCATAATGAAGTCTCCAACTGTCTGATTGCTTACATGGTTGTTCATTTTGATATTTCGTTATATGTAGCTGGCATCATTGTCATCACTGTCTAAAAAGGCTTGGCTGATCACATTTCTCCACATTTTCAAGCAATAGATAAGTTCTCTTTCCACAACCACAATCTCCATTTCTGGACATTGTGAAAACTGTGATTGAAATGTTGTTATATGATAGTGGGAGCAGCTATCAGACACAAATGAAGTGAGGAATTCGCTCCAGCTCCTGATCATTCTAGAGTAAGTGAGGTGGTTCTCGTACGTTCCATTATGTCAATGAATATTATATCGATCTGATGGTTGATGGAAATAACCCGTGATTTGAAGTGAGTACTATTCTACTCACTGGAACACAAAGTGTATACCATATTGCCGACTGGTTTTCATACTCGATATGAGCAAATCTTTAGTGAACGAGACTTCTCCATGTCTGTTGCGATTTCTGATTAACCTGACTTAATAAGCGAAGGAATGGATGAATGAATGGAGTTATGATCGTGTGTATTGATCAGTGGACCGCATGATATCCATTATTGACCATAGCTGTCCGATCATTCACATGTAGTTTTGAGCAATGCGTTAAAACATTCAACCAGATATTTAATAGAAGAAGTCGTTTCCCTTACTTTCATCAATCAAATAAGTCTAGTTTGACAGAATTCCGAATGGATACATTATTGAAACGGAAATCATTTTCGGCCGCAATTGGCTTGAAGTGCTTGAAAAGACTGGGTTTGGTCGACTGAATTTTGTACACAATTCTACTCGTAGAAGTCAACCACCCAGACTCGTCGAGATGGGTGGGCTATCACACTATCTGAGATTGTGTGGTAAAGGACGTTGGAAGTCGATTTCGTTCGTTCATCACATTGACGGTTTCAACTTGTAGCGGCTGGTACTATGCCAAGCACGCATGGGTTATTCTACCTGCTGAACAGACCAATTTATTCACCCTTCTCAAACCACATTTTCACCTTATCAATCATTCGATTATTATACTGGACTGTTCTTATATGATCATAAATGTGCTCATTGCTTACCCTATTCATCACGTGTCAGTCTGATATCCATTATTCTTGTCTGAATATAAATGTTGAGTCACGCCTAATCGAAACGAGTTCGCTCATTCACCTTCTCCTCTACACCTCACTTCGTTTCGCTTCATTTCGTTCCGGTTCGTTTCGTCTCGTCTCGCCTTGTCTCGTCTCGTCTTGTTCACTTCGCTCTCTTCACTCCGTTTCTCTGATTGTCTGTCTGCATCAATGAGTGTTCGAAATATATCAATTCAAAATGCATTCTCGTATTTGGCTTGCTTTATTCCGTTATTGTCCAACGTGAATTGAGTCGATAGTTATATACGAGGATTGAAGGCATGTATATTTCTACAACAATCAGCATACGTTCTAATTGGAGTCAGATCACAGTACCACTAAACACTTCCCTATTCACCACTTGTATTCTCACTCAAGTAGCAAGTTTGTCTGGCAAATAGGAAGCATGTCTCAGCATCGATCGACCACTCAGCATCACACTTACCAAGAATCAATCACTAAACAATCTGACAATTGCTTTCATGAAATTACTAAGTTAACTGAGAAGAAACCAATTTAGAGGAAGTGACGATTGTATGTATGAAATCAACACTGATCAACGTTAGAATGTCATATAAAGAGAATTAAGATGAATATTTCTGTAGAAATTTAACTTGATAATAATAATAATAATAATAATAGAGCACCAAATATGATTACGTTACGTGGGCGAATGAACAATAGATTGACCTTCGGAACCTGATGTATGAGAATACTGTCTCATTATGACAAAACAAACAAACAAACAACAACAACAACAAACAAAAATGACACTATCTATTGTTTCTCATAGACTACCTTCCTTATGATAGTGGCACGTACTTAAAGTAAATTTGTTTTGTTCCATTTTCTTTTCATATTTCTATTAGGTTAAGAAGTTAGGAATTCCAGTAATTCACTGAGTAAATTAGAGTTTAGACATTTAATGAAGAAAAACAGATTGGCATAGATTAGAATAAAATAGAATGGACTAATGATAATGAATTTTATTGTAAACTATCATTTAATATCGGTTTGTATATTATAATGATTTATTTTGCATTTTAGGTAATTTCTTCCATTCTGTAAAGTAGTTGATGGGATTTTGTGGTTAATATTGTTGTGATTGGTAATTCTGTCAATCGACAATTGAATTGACGAGTCAATCTAAGCTGGAATACGACTGAAAACGTGGAAGTATTTGACGGTCTATTCCTTACTAGTATGGGACTCGTCAGTAGTGTGCATCCATGATTCCACTGGTGGGAATTGAACCCAGG